GCGAGTGGAATTTGTGACTCTCTGCCTTGTCTCAACTTGCAGCTCACATATTTACCTAAAGTAGTCGTGACCTTTTCACCTTCGGTTCCAGTCATGTGACAAACAGGGATTTTATACTGTAGGCTATCAACGTTTGTCAATGTGTATCCAAGTTTATCTTGCTTAAAATATAATTAAAATCACAAAAATATATACTTGTTCTTTTTGCATCTAGATTTAGATAAATAATTTAATAATAATTTCTTATAAGCCTAAAATATTGTTAATTTGATAAATTGGTTCGACGATGTATGACGAATAAAACAAAATTTTAATAATCAATATTGTACAAATTAAATAAAACATATTTGTGTTTTATTTCAAAAGTGTCTGTCATAAATTGGTCAAGAGTTACCCACTACGATTCTATTTTAAATGAACAATTTATTAAACTGAAAATCCTTAATTTCCCGTATCGCATGTTTTTGTTTGTTAATTTATTACCAAAAATTTTTTTTTTCATTAAAAAAAATTCTACATCCGTGATTGTGCAAAAGTTCTCATAACTTGATATGCTCTTTTATTTTTGCTCTGAATGCGTGTTGCGTTTATCTTCCGCCCAGAACAGCAGATGCACCGTGCTTCACCGTCTCACCGGGATCAAAGCGACGGGAGAACATAAGTGGTTATTGTACGAGCAACATAATACCTCATAACATAAAAGAGAGCGGAGAGATGATGCTGCTGAGTGCGTTTTGGCATTCATCGGGACTGTTGGGCAGGTGGGGGTCGGTGAGCTCTCATTAAAGCCTAACACACAACGGCTATTATTGGATCGGATCTCACCAGGTGAAGATGGGAGCCGGGCTGGCGCACCTTTCACTGACATCCGAGGCTGCTTTACCAGCGCTTGTCCTCCGTAAGCCGCAGCCGCGCTGACCTTGATAGTGATCGAGGGAGAAAGTAAGAGAGAGCTTCATAGATATCCCGCGGTTATGTTGCACGATGTCCCAGTCGTAACATAGCACATAAACAAATAAGTAGCCCACCACCAACTTTTAATAATAATGATGATAATAATTATAATAATGATAATAATAATAATAATAATAATAATAATAATAATAATGCATATTAAAATAGAGACCAGATGTAACAACTTTTACACTTAGACATCATAAAAAGCGTCATTTTATTTGCATGAACTAACACGATGAGTATCTCTGTTTTTATCTGATGACAGCTTAATCTGTGCATAAACAACACAATAAAGATTATGGTTATAATAAAAGCAACCCATAATCTTAGTTAATATAGGCCTAAAAATAATCCGATTGTGCTTTTTTGTTAAGGCATTGTATAAAATAATCGAGTAGATAATTGAATATTGTTTTCTATGCAATCTTTAGAGATCAGATCTTTCTCATTTGTGTAAATACATCATTTAAAATTGCTCCTATCAAAAGGTACAAGAGAACGCATTTGTTTAATTCGTTGGCTTTACCAACTAACCCTCCCCCTGAAAGCCGAAAAACTAATTAATTTGAAGACCACTTTGGATAACTTAATGCCATCAAAATAAACTTTAAAACCTCATGCTTTAATTTTACTTTTTAGGTCATGCAATTTAATTGTCTGATATTTTGTGATAGGGAAAATTTTTTTCATGCAGTGAAAATAATTTTACTTAATATTTAGTTTTGCAGAAAGCAGATATTCAGTAATATGTATATATATATATATATATATATATATATATATATATATATATATATATATATATATATATATATACTTAATTGTTGAGAACGAAGCTGTATAATAAGCACTTATTGAATCTAACGGACAAGAAAGCAATCCTGCATCCTCTGACCCCCGAATGCAGCCCGCTTTCATTGATCACCCCCTTATGAGATAATGCAATTACAAACATCAATAAGGAGCTGCGAGGGGAATCATTACGTGGTGACAGTGATAGATGATAGTGCAGAAAATAGCGCGTTTCTCTCCAACAATCCTGGAGCCCAGGGGCTTTCAGGGGTGGGCGAAGTCACCAAGGAAACAGATGACATCCAAAATGGCCCTGCAGTTTTGGACACTCCATCTCATCTCTCCAGACTTCTCTCTAGTAGTCCACCAGCTGCCACATAACATTATTGTATGTGGTAACACGCTTGAGACGTCAGTGAAACAAAATTACACTTTCATTCAGACTCAGGCACCGACTTCTCTCAATTCTGTTTATTGGTCTTGCAATTTTATATAAATCAGCTAGACTTCATTTATTTAGGTTATTGTGTAGTTGTTTGTTTTTGAGGTTGGCCTATAAGATGAGACTAAAAGTTTAATTTACCAAATTTATTTGATTCGGAAATGTTCTAAAAAAATGAACATTTTAAACAAAACAAAAAGAATGTTTCAAAATAAACAAAAATAATGTTAATTTAATTGGTCAGAATGAAAATAAAGATTTGTAAATGCTTGAAATGAAGCAAAATGATTATTAACTTACTGACATTTATTTATTATAAGTGTAGCCTACATGTCTTTTAATTGTTGTAGTGGTTATTTAAGCCGTGTTTACATTTGCAAGGAGAAAAAAAACATTGCATTGTGGGATAATGTCTTGTCTCTGCGTTATTTTTCACTTACATACAAAAAGTCAGTGATGCAAACACACACATCATGCAGAGTGGACATAACCCTCTCAAACATGGCCAGTTAATGGAGAGTGGACCACATTTGCATCTGCCACTGCTACTGCGAAGACACACGACCCTTTGTGAAAGTTTTCAAACCGAAGCAAAACTGCTTGAATACAGAGTACAGATGACAGAAACATGCAACAGCACAGCCTGTGCTGCTCTTTATGGGAGGCAGAAAGTCCTGTTTGGGCACCTCTGTGCTTATGGAACAAATTTCTTTCAGTCATTACTCACAGAGTTCAGTATGTGGTCAAAGTCAGATAAAAGCTTTCTTCTTTCTTCTTAAACAACAGATGGAAAAGGCGTCGTCATTACGTGTCTTTGACTGCGGATAAATGAAGAAAATCAATAATCGTGTTCATTTGCAAAGGTCACGGAAACGCTCATTAAGAAACTTACCCATGGCGAACCAACAGAACAAAATACAGAAAAACTAAATTTAGCTAACAGTTAATAACAGGATGGATAACAGGATAAATAACAAATTTACAATAAGTCTTCATGTGATTGTTTAATTATCGGGCAGTAAAGTAGTACACGCAAAATATTTTACTGGCTACACATTTAACTCTACACATTAAAATAGTACCAACAGCAACAATTAACTGTATATGCATTCAGAAAGTACACTAAATTAGAAACTGCATATAGTCCTAAATATTGTTTATTAATCTGATTAAATAGTAAACTATATTGTAATAATAAGTCATATAAAATGTGAAAAAAATCACAACATTTAACTTCTTTCATTTACCATAATTATATATATATATATATATATATATATATATATATATATATATATATATATATATATATATATCCCAGACAGCACACATACGTTGGGCCGACGTCGTGCCGACTTTCAAAATTCCATCGGCGCGATGTCGCTCAGGGAGCGTTTGCTAATTGGCAAAATGTCGCCGCGACGTCGGCAAATGATCGGAAACGCTGTCCGGCCGATGTTAGGACGACGCAACCGGAAATGCCGGCCGCTCCGCGGAGGCGCTGTTCTCAGGCGTTTTGCTCCATACTTATGGACCACTAGCTGCAGCAGCTGCTTATTTATAATAAACACGACACACCACTCTCAATAACAGTTGAAGATTTATTAATATTTTTCACAAACATACAAATAGAGTAACATACTTTTATCACACATAACCATGTTTTACTACGTTTAAAACAAAACCAACAAGTTGTACTATAACCATGGCTGAACTGCTGTGCAATAAAGATTTTAAATACAAAGTCCATTGCAGCATTTACATTAAGACCATAGGAATATTTACAAGTACTTCAAAACATGTACACTAAGGGTGACTATAGTTTACTATAGTAAAAACACAAATCACTTGGAAAATGCATGTTTCCAAGACTATAATTTTGAAATACAAGATAATACCAGTCATGTGTTCAGTATCCAAAAGACTTTCTTCAGGGAGTTACAATAAATAAAGAGTACACAAACACAAAATAAATACCAAGCAAACAATATTTACAGTAGTAAATAAAATCATACAAATTAAAATAATTGTCTGATAAAATTTTATTAAAGTCTGTAGTCAATTTTTTTTTAAATTTTTTTTATAAATGGCATTCAACAATTTGCAATCTCCTCTGAACTAATAACACACCAATAATATAAAATAATACTTTCTCAGAGATAACCAGTTTTTTTTAAGCAAACTCTAATGCACGACACAAAACAGATTTTGTCATTCTATATATATATATATAAAATCCCTTAATTTCTGTTTAACGGAAATATTTTTTAACACATTTCTAATCACAATAGTTTTAATAACTCATTTCTAATAACCGAGTAAATAATATTTGACTAGATATTTTCAAGACACTTCTATACAGCTTAAAGTGACATTTAAAGGCTTAATTAGGTTAATTAGCTTAACTAGACAGGTTAGGGTAATTAGGCAAGTTATTGTATATCGATGGTTTGTTCTGTAGACAGTTGAAAAAAATTGCTTAAAGGGGCTAATAATATTGACCTTAAAATGTTTTTTAAAAAATTCAAAACTATTTTTATTCTAGCCGAAATAAAAGAAATAAGACTTTCTCCAGAAGAAAACATAACATTTTCTTGCTCTGACCTATATTTATATAAATAAAACTGGTTGTAAATTGTGTACAATGTTCCAAGAAAACAGACAAAATTAAAAGAAATAACCTGTCATTTACTTTTGTTTTATCTTGTGGAATGTTGCTTACACATAAAAGGGGATATATAGGTGGAATAAAAAGTGTGTCGCCATCCTCGAAATTGTTCTTGTATGTTGTCTTCATCTTTAGTCTTCACAAGTGAGGCTGGCCCAAACCGGGACTGCAGTAGCCAAATCTAATCCTTGTAGTGGGAACCCTTAAATAAAGCAAGAAACCAAAAGGAGAAAGATTAGCATTTGAGCAGTTCATATTACCACAAATATAAATTATTTGTTTCATGACATATAACTGGAGTATGTGTTATGCAAGTGCCTAGCTAAAATGTGTAATTTAATTTAAACTTAAAGAGTGTGTCTGAGCACTAATTTTCAGAAAAGCCATTTGAAAGTTAAATTCCTTGTGAAATGTGATGTTTTTTTTTGGTTTTTAGTATCATTGTGTTAGTATAAATGTGTCTCTAAATATATGTCAAATCTTCAGATACCACATTACATGCAAATTAAACTAAGTTTCGTCAACTAAAATGTCACACTGTACACCATATTTAATATATCATAGCTAGGGCCAGGAGGAATCTGCGGATGTTTTTTGCTATTTCTGCTGAAAATTTTGGTGGAAGTCTGCGGATTTCTGCGGAATTATTTTGGGAGTATCATAACTAAAACCTTAATATATGAAATAAAAAATAATATATTTTAAAGTTTTATTTAATGTTTAAAATGCAAATCCAATTAGATTCACTTTATTTGGTAAATAAAGCAAGTTTTTCATGTAACATATCTAGTAAGACAGAAAACATTACTGTACAAACCTCATTGTACATAAATCAGATGAACATTTTCACATTAGTCAATAATATTACTGAAATTAATAAAAAAACTGAATAAATATAGATTTACACACATTTACTCAAGTAAATAAACAGAATTAATGATAGGCTAAACATCTGCGGAGTTCTGCGAAAAATCCGGGTGGGCCTAATCATAGCTTTATTTCTGCTACAAAAAGGTTTTACAGCAAACAACTTCTATTATATGTAGGCTATAGAGGAGGATATAAAAAGAAATGATATATTCAACTCTCTAATTAAATGCACCTTATGCAGCTAATCAGGTCTTTTAGGCTTATTTGAAAACTTAAATGACGTGTTGACCACAGTTGAACAACGCTCAGTGAGAATACTTTTTTTGCACAAATTCTTTTTGTTCTAAAGAAACATGTCTGATTGCTAGCAATCATCAAAGAGCAAACTTTTTTTTTTTTTTCAAATAAATACTATGCTTTTAAAAATAAACTTTTCATACATCAAGAATACTAAAAATATGTTTATTTAAAATGTTTTATATATAAAAAAAAACAGCTTGAGGAGAGAATCAGTACATTGGAATACTATTTTTTCAGAAGGATCATGTGACACTATTAATTATATACATTGTATTAAATTCACAGTATTACTGCTTGACTGTATTAATTAAATAAAGCTGACACTATCAGAAGAGAATATACCATACCAACCGAAAAGCTATGAAACAGTAGTGTATGTTTAAGATGTTACTTACTAGTCCTATTGTACTTTGGAGAGGTTGTCTGACAGGAGGATCCCTTCAACTCAGCAGAATTCTCAGCAGACCATCAGCGTACACCAATCTAAGAATAAAATAAGCAATTTGTTAAAAACCAAAAATATATATTTTATATTTCCAGGTTTATAGGAAAGAAGAAAGCTAAAGCAGATTTAAAATGTAGAAAAAAATAAAACCTATTGACAATTTAATGGCACAACATACCCTAAACTAAGCACGCTCAAATGGTTAATTTTAACTGTTAAGGATTCATTCATTCATTGTCTTTTGGGCTTAGTCCCTTTATTAATCTGGGGTCACCACAGCGGAATGAAAGGCCAACTTAGCCAGCCTATGTTTTACGCAGTGGATGCCCTTCCAGCTGTAACCAATACACACTCATTCACACACACTTATACACTATGGTCAATTTTAGCATACCCAATTCACCTATGTCTTTGGACTTGGGAAAACCGGAGCACCCGGAGGAAACCCATGCCAACACGGGGAGAGCATGCAAACTTCACACAGAAACGCCAACTGACCCAGCCGAAGCTTGAAGCAGCAACCTTCTTGCTGTGAGGCAAACGTGCTACCCTCTGCGCCACCGTGCTGCCCTGTTAAGGAATCAGATTAATATAAATGAATTGACATGTTTATTTAGTGTCTGACACATTAAATATTGCATTTTTAAATATTGTTTCATTTTAAGATTTATTTCAGAATTAACTATAGAACCGGATATATCGTCACATTTTCATGCACAGCAGCATTTCCAAGAACATAGAAAAACAGAATATAGGCCAACTGGAAAAAAAATAAATTAAAAAATTATGAGGGTATAATCTTGGATAAAAATATCACAGTTTCACAGTATTGTGATTACTGCTCTGAAATGTGTTTTTTTTTTTTTATCTCTGTGTAAAAAACAGCTACTTTTTCCCCATTGAACACAATATGTTTTGTTTTAAGAAACATTTAAAATATTTTGTAACAGTAAACATGCCAGGCTAAATAATAATTTAATAAAATAGTACTATCTTCATTAGAATCAAAAACACTGATTTCTTGTGAAGGCATAATAAGCTATTTGTTTTTCAGATGTTTGCTGAATCGTGAGCTGACCAGTAGCTTTTGATGTGGAGGGTCTTTTGCTGCTGTAAATAATGTTGGACTATTTTTTTAAGTCTTTGATAACGCGCTAAAAACCATATACAATGCATCCAGAAAGTATTGATAGCGCTTTACTTTTTCCACATTTTTAATGTTTCAGTCTTATTTCAAAATGGATTAAATTCATTAATTTCCTCAAAATTCTACACACAATCCCCATAATGTGTGTTGACCCGATTTTAGTTAATCATTTACAAGTCAATAGTGCCTATATGGATTGTAATTTAAAAAAAAATTAACATGTAAAATTGCAGTGTTAAATGCAATGCCATCAAACATTTTAGACGCACCAGTGCAAAAAGCTAGTCTAGAGCACTTGGAATGCTGGTGTAGTTCTAGTTAAATTCAGTTAAAGCTGTATATGCAACAGGTCTCAAGTAGAGGATATAGTATTTAACTAATCTTAACAACTAAACATTTACGAATCTGTATTAGCCAGCTCATGTACTACAATGTAACATACTGTATATTGCCACCTTGATACTTAAGCTTTCTTTAAAATATTTTGTGTTCAACCGATTAATTAATTCTTTCATTTAATTTTTTCTGTGCAATAGTATAGCTTACACTGGTGTATTTGTATGGACCCCCCAAAATAGCGGAGGCCACTTTCTGGCCACCCGAGTATAAACTTCTAGCCTAGCCACTGTGAACTACCTGTCTGTCCTGCTCCAGAACTCTTTGTCGGCTGCTTGTTTGTCTGGATACAGCTGCACAAGTCTTTTAACACTGACAAATACAGCCTCTGCACATCCTCACAACCAGGAGAACAGAATGATCAGGAGGACCTGAAAAATATAACCAACTGAAATCAGTTGAAATGTATTTTGTCTTGTAATGATGGCACAAAAATAAATTATTTTTCACAAAGGATGTGCTGTTACCTATGAAACATTCTATAATGAATGATCTTTTTGATCCTGTTTCCTTGATGTCATTCACTCAGAGATGGTTTGGACATTTGATTGTATCTAAACTGTAATGAATTTAAGTTACACAAACATTGATAGCAGGACCATTGATCTTGTGACTTATACAAATTGTTAAGTATTGAACAAGTCTGCAACCAAACTAGTCAAGTTAATAATACTAATCTCAACTCAACTATGATTAGTTGTCTTGTTTCTGCTGCCCAGACGGTCACACCTGCTTATAAAAAAAGGAAAAAGTATGGTATTTTTATAACAATGAAACTGCAAACAACTTAACTATAAGGGGGTAAGCAGTGAGCATCTTTTATTAGAAGCAATTTACTGAATACTTTGTCACTGGTATTACCTAAAAACCAAACGTCCCAAGTTTGGCTCATAGCTGTCCACACATCTGCCCAGTAGCTTGTGGTAATACTGAAGACACTGATCAGCTGGTCCAACTGAGTTTGGAGTTGAACTGCAATCAGGCATCCAATACTGCAAAGAAAGAGAAACTCACTTTGGGTTAACAAATAATGTAATCCCATCCACGCATTTCAAGTAATTGTGCAGTTAATTCTCTTAAAATGAATGAATGAATTCTCTTATTGAATTTTCTGAGAGCTTATGAATATATTTTGTCTTCCCAAAATAGCATGTACTGAAACACAAAATTATATAAATATAATTTAATAAGAGCGTGACGTGGTGGCACAATAGGTAGTGCTGTCGCCTTACAGCAAGGATGCTGACTCGAGCCGCAGCTGGATCAGCAGGCATTTCTGTGTGTAGTTTGCAAATTCTCTCTGCGTTTGGTGGGTTTTCTCTGGGTGCTCCGGTTTTGCCTACAAGTCCAAAGACATGGGGTACAGGTGAATTGGGTAGGCTAAATTGTCTGTAGTGTATGAGTGAGAACAAGCGTATATGGTTGTTTCCCAGTGATGGCTTGCAGCTGGAAGGGCATCCACTGCGTAAAACATATGCTGGATAAGTTGACAGTTCATTCCGCTGTGGTTACCCCAGATTAATAAAGGGATTAAGCAGAAAAGAAAATGAATGAATGAATGAATGAATGAATGAATGAATGAATGAATTTAATAAGAGTTAAACTGATCTGTTAACATGTCTGTCAGGAGCTGATCTACTTGTTGTCAAACTGATGAAAATGTTTTCTCAATTTACTTTAACATTTTTGTGTTTGTTTATGTTTTTATAACTTGCAGCCATTGTTAAATTTAAAAGTATTTTAAACATGCATGGACATCTAAATGCATATAGGGCACATATCTCAAAACATTATGAAATATTTCCAGATAAATCAATTTTGAATTAAAATGTATATTAATCTCCAGACATGCACCTCCCTGATCTTTTTAAAAGAACGGCCATTCGTTTGCTCATCACTGTTTGACAAGTGTCTGGCAGTCAGTCAAAAATATACTTACATATAAAGATGTTCATCAGCAACACGGCACTTAGGTTAAACTTAGACCTCCTTTTCAGTTGATGTGGAAAACAAAAGCAAAAGAAAGAAAAAACAAAACGACTGAATACAAGTTGCATATCATGCCTGTACAAATCAAAAATTATTCATTTAGGGCTTAAATTGACTTAAGGATGAGTTAAGGTGTAAGGGATGGGTGAACAGTGTAAATATACATGTAATTCATAGCTATGATGTAAAGCTAAATTTTCAGCATCATTACTCAAGTCTTCAGTGTCACTTGATCTTTCAGAAATCTTTTTTTAAGATGTTGATTTAGTGCTTGAGGTTGAACTAATATAATGGTGATTATCAAATGGTGCTGATTTGCTGCTCAAGAAACATTTCGGATTGCTATCAATGCTAAAAACAGATGTGATGACAAATAATTTAGTGTAAACTTTTTTCTAAGATTTAATAAATCAATTAATCATAAAAAATTAAACAAAATGAAAATCACAAATATTACTTCATTAGCAGCAAATCTATATATTTACTAAGTTCTGAAGAATCATGTGATGTGAAATTTAATACCACTAACATGTTTCAATGTCAAAACTTTCTTAAAACAACTGCAATAAAGACAAGTAACAGATGCATAATATATAGACATGTAACATGTGCATAATGATGTGCAATGGAAATTCATATGAATTAATCCTATGCTTAAAGTTACCTGTCTTTCCTGTATCTCTGTGATCAGCTCCCTTCAGAAATTTAGGAATCTTGTGTTATATTTTCTGTAGCAGGAGGTTATTCTCTCACTCCTGAAACCACAGAACACTTTTTTACTTAACATTTAGTTTAAGATACCATGCATGAAATATCAAAACACGATTGAACTTTTGATTCACGGTCCTTTACAGTAACGTTACAATGCGTATTTTAGACTACATATCGAGTGCATTCAATAAAACATTGACAAAACCTCTCATCTACACATAAAGAATAAATAAAAGCCAAAACTTTAACAAACAAGTTTAACAAGAGCTAACATTAAGTAAGTTAACGTAATATTACCCCGACGCTAACGTTACCAGTGCTAATATGCTAACGGACTTTTACGAAGACTTACCACTCTTATATAACATAATATTCAACTGAATATTCATCAATTGCCAATAATAAAAGTGTGAGGAACAGTTTTATGTAGTATTTGCTTTGTTTTAGGGACTAAACTTACCTGAAAACAGTCAAAACGGCAGCTTGAGAGAAGTCGTGTTGTGTCTTTCAGGTGGTGTCGTGTCGTGTTGTAGCTTCGTTTCCCATAGCAACATCCCCTCCGCTCCAGTGTTGGAAGCAAGACGCGCGCGCGCACATTAAAGTCTTGCAGTATTACATTTATAAACATGATCACTCCATAGACAATTTAAATAATAACCTTGTATTTTATATCTTGAATTTAAAATGTATTTAGCAGTTTTATATACGCTATTATCTTTAAGACGAGCTTTATAGCCTACTAAACTGTTACAAAACAAACACTTTATTTGTGCATTCACTGTCAAAAATAAATAACCAATAAATATAAATGCAAGTATATATAAAACAAAGATGTCACTCTGTAAAAAGGTGTTTATTTTAATTAAACAGCCGAAATGCAGAACATACTTGATTTTTACACTGGGAAAAATGTATTAGAAAAAGCCACAATAAAAAAAAAAGCAAACAGCAGTTAACACCAGAAAAAAACAACGTTTTCATTATTAAAGCATAACAATAAAACTTTTTATATTTTAATGAATTGAAATCATGTATTGTAGGCATTTTGGTCAGTTTTACTGCATTAATGCAGGCTATTTAAAGCTGGACCGACCGACGCAGTTCACATGATGCATGGCGTTTGTCTAATTTATTATGCACGCAAAAACTTACTTGTAAACCAAATATGTTGCCGGATTCTTTCATGGGCATGAGAGATCAAGTGCTTATGAAGTGCTTCGTCGGCCTCTGGTCGTTAACCGACGCAGAGCCGACGTTTGTTGAGCTGGAACAATAGAACACACGACCGAACGATCATGCGTATGTTTGGCCGACCATATACCGATGTTAGAATTAAAGGGGCCGACGTGTTGACCTTCGGCCGACGTCGGCCCAACGTATGTGTGCTGTCTGGGTATATATATATATATATATATGTACTATTTTTATTTTTAAATACATAGCCTATATAATTTTAGTAACTGATAACTTTGAAGTATCTCGATAAACGTCAAACATTTATTAAATATACACTCCCTTAAGGACAGTTTTCCAGATCCCCTAAAGATGGCAGTCAAACATGGGATTTATCTCTGCCTGTGTCTCCAGAGCACCGAATGGCGAACGGTGGAGGAATTCAGATCTGAGGAGCTGAAACGGTGTCATTAAAGCGTCGCCACTGTTCAACGTTGCTTGAGAGCGAAACATTCAGCAAAGGGAAGGTAATAAAAACACAATGGCGATAGAAAACTCAAGAACGGGTTTGGAAAAAGGGAACTTATTGATTTATTATGGGAGTGTAGTTTAACCTGGCGTCACCCATAGAGTTACTAGCTGGTTATTTCAGAATTCCCACGTGAATACAACATTTCCTTACCGAATCTATCGTAACCCAAACATACATTTCGATTAGCCTAGCTGTGTCGAGTTCAGCATTATTTAAGCGTTTGGTTTTAGCGGGTAGCTTGGAAACAGCCGTCGTCTGGATAATGCCGTTTCAAGCGCTCTTGACGGAGCCATTGAGTGGGTGAAATAAGGCGTGAGGGGGAACTAATCTTCCCATTTAAGTGTTTGTGGCAATTTTATCTAAATGAATTTTAATGCTAAACGGGGGATAATTCTTCCTTTATCCGTCCCTCCACCTCATCTAGCCCCCTGTTTGAGCCTCTTTCTAGTAGGCCGCACATTTGTTGCACATTAGCAAGCCATCGAAAGTTGAACATGCAGCATTTTAGAAAAAAAAAACGTCATTTCTGTCTACTTTAGCGTGTGGTGTGTATCCTTTTGATATTTATCACTCACCTTGTCCATTAGGGCTTCATGTTCACACCTCATATTACCGCGTTCGTGTAACTTCTGTTATTATAATTAATTACAATACAAAACTAATGTAATTACGTGCAACTTACAAAATAACCTGTTCATTTGTGTTGTTCAGAACTTAATTGCTCTGTGGACACTGCAGTGAAAGGCGTGACCCAAGGATGAGATAAACCTGAAGACCTAGTCTTAAAATGTCTCAAATTAATCCTTGGATGAATATAGGTGGTTCATATAACCATGAAGTTTGATTCAAGCGCCATCATAAGGTAGGCTATGGCTTTATATTCTCAATCATATCACAAAAAAAAATTATAAAAAGTAGAATAGTCTGGGAAAAAAGATTAGAAGTTTCATTTAAAACGAAGATTGTAAGTGGGACATGAATAAAAACATTATGAACATTAAATTAATAACAATTAATATAAATAATTAAAAATTAACTAACAAAAAATTAACTAATGAGGATCATTTTTATATGGACTTTTGAATTTGTGGATTCTCAAGGAAAATGTGGAATTTTGCACAAATAATAAATTTTATGCTCATTTAAATGCTACTCTTACTGAGTAGCAAAAGGCAGAAATGGAAAATAAATAGCTTTAAATGTAGTGTTATATAAAATGTAGCATTTCACAATTTTAATGTTATATTCAGTAAAAATGGAGAATATGTAAAAAACAGAATAAAAAAAAAAAAAACCTGTTGTTGCAGCTTTCAGAGGACAAGCGCTGGTAAAGCAGCCTGATCTAAAATCTAACTGGGCCGAAACATGAATATATAAAATATCTCACGTTCCCCTTTTTTTTTTTTTTTTACACAAAATTTATTCATTTATAGTGTATACATAAACTCTTCAAAATTTAAACAAGTGATAGCAACAAGTTAAACCCATGTCCCCCAAACAGGTTGGCTTAATTAAAAGCATTTATGGGTCCTAATTCCCAAACAATTTGAGCTCTTAAAGTTTAATGGGTTACACACATACACACACACACACACAAATGCACAATTCCTCACACAGGCTTGTTCTTCACATTCAGTGTCTCACACATCCAGTAAAGGTAAGTGAAAATAATTTTCATTGATTCCAATGATGATATGGGCCCAGTTCTGTTGTACAGACTGGGAATGCAAAATGGAGACCTCCCAAAGGCAGGACGATGTGGCTCAGACAGGTAGATATCACTCGGTTTCTTCTCAAGGCCAAGACGGGTCATGGAATATCCGCTCCCTTACAGGACAAGGAAAAAAAATGGCCTGGCAAACATGTATTCAATGAATTATTGATTTATTCACATATATTTTTTCTTTTTCTGGTTTAAACGCAAAGTGATTTATGAAGGAGGCCAAAAGTTTATGGAGATGGCACACACATAGTGTGGAAAGAAAAAAAGTTCACATCCTTTTTTAAAAAAATCTATTAGAAACAACATAATATGCAGAACAATACGATAGCATTTACAATACTTTTTTTCCCAGTTCTTATGAAAGTCCAATGCAGTTTTACAACAGTATACAGTATGTCCTCATCCCTCCCCTTTAGAGGCTGATATAGTAATAAATTCAAATTTTCTTTCTCTTTTTGCGTCTATGCAAAGGGCACCTCCTTTTAAAGTGTCTCAGAGTTTACAGAAATTGGCTTCTTTCTTGGTCCAAAACTCTAGCCAAGATGCAAGCTCCCTAGTCTCTGTAAAAAAAAAGTCAGTATGTAATCGGTGCTTTGGAAGCCCCCAAAAAAACCAATCGCAGCATCCTCGTCTGTCCATTGCAGTCATTTAAAGAATCCGTTTTAGTAAATTACTGGGCATGTATGTCCATGTATTGTCCTCCCATTGTTGGATCTCCTGGATTGAACATTGGGGGGCTTGAGGCTGACATGGGCATGGCAGGGTGAGGCGGTCCTCCGTGCATTAACATCGCCGGGTGATGGAGGTGTCCAGGGATGTATGAACGCATGGGAGGGCCGTGCCGCAACTGAGCAGGGTGGTGGGGCATCTGGGAAGCGCTGTAGCCTGGTTGCCCCATTGCCATCGCCACCGGGCCACTGTGTGACAGGTAATCCCCTGGCATGCTCTGTAGTCCTAGGAAAGAAAAAAACAGAGAAGATTATAGCGATTACTGTTGACGCTTTAGTCAGAGAGTCATTCATTGCAGTATCTGTAATATGTTGTGGGAGGTCATCAAGCCAAAGGTTTCCTTTACAAGGAATGTTTCACTTTGCATTTACAGCAGCAAAAAGCATATGAGCCATGTGCATGTATGAGAGGACTGTCCTCTGTGAAGCATGGAAAGAGACTAGATGAGGAATCTGTGTAGTGGGACTGGGTGGCTCTCTAGGGACTAACTCACTGGCCTGAACACGGCACTTTGCTGCTGCCTGCAGTGGGGATCCGTACTCAATGCCATATCCATCAGGTCTGGAATCTGCCACATTCATACCCGACTAGTCAACCGGAAGGTTGTCCCTCACTAAGGTCAACCAGAAGGTCGATATGTAACTGTTGTTATGCTTTATTTGCACATTTTATATCCGTCTAGGAGTACAACGCTATGATGAAATCTATATATTATTTGCCCACCGCTCAATAAGTCACTATGATGTGCCTATATTATACAATTGACTTAGGCCCCGTTTACACTTGTGCGTTTTAGTTTTAAAACGGCGTTTTAGAATGAAAACGATCCACGTCCACACTCGCGTTTTACCCAGCGTTTCTGAACTGCTCTCCGTCCACACCAAAACGCTGAAAACGCACATCACATGACCACACAGACACTCTTTGTCAAGCGCTGCAGCCCATCTACCCAGATGAGAGCTGTGCTAGTCGGACTTCTCGTCAAGCATCTCCCGCTGGATCTAATCTCACTATATTTATTAAACGGGATATTTCATTCATCTTGTTGTCTTTATCTAACGACATATTCCCTGACTTTGGTCATTGGAATCTATTACTTGTTCTCAGGTAACGTGTTTTGGCTGAGCGCAAAGATAAGTTAATGATTAATGTAACCACGTAGCCTATTCTGTATATTGACTGATCGCTTGCCTTAATTTCCTATAATGTATAAACTTATTGTATGTTATACTTTTATAATGGCCATTATCGATAATTAAAACTGATATTCAGCAAAAGAGAGGGTGTTTCGTATTTTCACTGAAATTGAAAGGAGGCAGTTGTTATAGGCTCCGTTTTGTTATAAATATCCACACAGTGAAGATGACACTCATGCAGCACGACGCCTCAACATTTCTGCTGTCTAAGTTGCCAATATTAAAATAAAAATAGGCAGTTCCTTAAATCATGTTTATATTTTATTGTTGAGAAAGTGAAACAACGTAGCCAGGGCGATGTGAATGAAGCTATAAAGTACACTGTTCCCTTTGAAGATTTACCCGTGTTCTCGGTATAGTCTGCTTTCCATATCAAACTGAGAAGAAGAGACTGCAGCCTTGATCAAACTTGCGAAGTCTGAACTTACAAGGAGAGAATGCAGGACTGAACTGTGTGTGTTAGGCTACTTAATATTGAGGAAAAGCCCCAATCAGAGAGTCGAATGTCGGCAGCCCCGCCTCCGTTTTCAGATGTCTCCGTTTTTGCTCATCCACACTGAGACGGAGCAGCAGCGTTTCAGAATGAAAACGGCCTCTCCAGTGTTTTCGAAACGCTTCGTTTTCGGCGCTCGAGAACTCCGGCGTAGTGTGGACGGATGGCGTAACCGTAGCAAAACTTATGCGTTTTCAAACTAAAACGCATTAGTGTAAACGGGGCCTTATTTATTAGAGGACAGACACGGATGCATCTACTCTTTATTAACCTTTTAATCACACTCTAGGAATGGTTTTAATTTTCAAATAACACCAATACCTACATATGTGAAATCTAACACTAAACGGCTGGTAGGTGAAAATAGGCTGTGCTGTGTCCTAAGCACGGGCCAAGTCTTTATGCCAGAGGAAGCCACAACAATGACAAATGAGGTAGAATAAGCCATGCCTTTATTCTATGTTCTCCCCTCACTTATCTCACTTTAAACACAATGAGCAAAGGTCTGTGGCTCGCTCTGAGAGCCCCTCAGAGAAACGCCACCATTGTGCTTAAATTAAAGACGAAAGGTGAAAATTTACAAAGGCCGTCACTTGAGAGGCCTCACCTGGGTGCGTGCACGTGCCATGAGCAGAAAGGCCACTAACCCTGTGACAGCAGCAATACAGAGCAACAAATCAAGCTCAGGTTCAAAGGGGTACAAATAAAAAGCCCTTTTGTTGTTGCTCTGGTTATATGTTTTCAGGCTTCAGCCTCAGAATGGTTGTTGTTTTGTACTAGCATGTGAAGTGGTAATCTGTATGCCCCTGCAATTATTTACTACTAAAAGGCCTGACCCAAGCTTTTGAGGGGTCATCAGCTCTATTTGATTTCAATCCTTGAAAACGCTGCTTGGCGAGGTAGGAAAACATCCGCTCTATCAGAAAAGCAATGCTCGGATGTGAAAAGGGCACACATTGCAAATGCGGTTTTTCACTTAATAAGTCAATCAATACATTGAGTTCCTTGCCTGTCTATTTTCAGAGGTGCCATGGGACCGAATCAACAGGGGATGTTTAACATACACAATACAGCAGGCAAATCCCTGAAGACCCTTTCCCCCTTTAAAAGTAAAAGTTCAGAGCAGAAAAATGGGTACCTTGACCCTGCAAAAGGTTAACAAACTTCTGCTTAATGAATGGGAGGAATGAAATTTCGGACAAAGGAGTCTCCAGCAGAGCTTCCAGCTCACCAAAGCATACCAGCTGCGTTCAAGTATGGACGGGGAGGGCAACATTTTTGTCCATATGCCCATAATTAATGCTCTCTGCATTCACTATTGTCTTGAAATTAAAATGAAAAAATTTTGGCCACCCTTGGCTAATTTTGTTGAAGAAACACAAAGAGCGGTATGGGGAAAATGGTCATAAAACAGTCTTTCCCTCGCTTATCAAAGGCTCACCCTCTTCTGCTTGAGTAGCTAGGCTTTATCCACGCTGACAGGTGTATTGTTTCGGAGAGCTATAAGCTCTATAATCGTCATGGGCAGAAAGCATAACGCTTTGCTAAGTAGGTTTAATTGGCTTTGGTTTTAAGTAATGTTGCAGTGTGACTGCGTGGAACACCTTAATTTCAAGTCTTGGGACTTCCCAGCAAATAACTGCTTAATCTCGCCTTGAGGAGAATTCCTCAACTAATGAAAATTGCTTATAAAATATAATGAAGCCTTGGTCTCTTAATCAAATAAGATAACGTTTTTTTTTGTAATAACCTATTAATTTAATTGGTCGCAAAGTATAAAACACATCACTTATATTTAATTGACCTAGAAACTATAGTAACAATATTCAAATTAGACAAGCTAGGAAATTTCAGTGATGAAGCCATAAAGACCAGGCATTTCTTCACCATGGCGACATATTTCTGTCACACTCTGCCTCTTTTTCCTTCCTCATTTCCCCCTCTCTCTTGCTCTCTTTTTCCCCTCAACCCATCTCATCTAAGATTCCACACGCGGCCCAATTACAGAATTCGGCAAGCAAATTGAGGCTGTTTAAAGCAGGTTTCTCTTGTGTCTTCTGGGAACTACAGCAGCTGCTGTAAGCAGCCATTTGGACACCGGGAAACACTCTCAGTGTTTAGACATGCACACAAAGCGGGGACGTGACGTTTTACAGCACAGAGCTTGTGTTATCATCCTGTGTCTCGTGGTTAAAGACAGTGAAGTCGAGAGAGTATCTTTGACAACAGAGGCATTCTGTGCTTGGCTGCATTAATGATCGCTATTTTTGTATACCGAATAAGTCAAATCCATTTGTCACACCGCTTGTGATGGCATATTTAATTTGGATATAGTCAATTAGGCTGGACTAAGCTGTGTACCCTGCTGTGCACACCTCCATTTTGCACTTCTTCATCTTCCCTGCCTTTGCCATTAGTAATCCTATTAGGAAAGACAGACAAGAAAATAGTGGACCAAGTCAGGGTCGATAAAACCAGCTCCACCTAAAAATTCCATGCAAGGCTGACATAATTTTCAAATGTGTGGCTATGTGTTGGCTGTGGGGCGAGAGAGCGATTCTTTGTGCATTGCCTTGCAGGTTGGTGTATAAATGTAACTCATGCATCAACTGTAGGGAGACAGATTTATGACACTTTGGGGACATGCACTTTTCTCTCCTTGCACTGCTGCAGACTGCTTACATTTTGCCAATCAGTCTGTTGCTATGGTAACACACCCCTCCCCTTCTCCGACCAAAACCCCAATCTCAATCCCCCCACCCTCCATTTGCCTCCTTCCCCACACAGCTATTCCTTCTCGTCGGTCTCTCTCTCACTCGCCCACACTTATTTTCCCCTTTCTATATGACTCTATGCACTGTTTAGTAACATGGCCAGAAATGTGCAGAAATAAAAGAGGCATGGATTACACAGCACATAAACACCTTGCTCAAAGCTTTTCACCCACAGGACCAGGAAATATTAGTATTGATAAGCAGGAAAAAGCAGCGTGTTGTTCAGTTCAAAAGACAATTTTCTCCCATTTTTTTTTTTTGCTAAAGCAAATCAAATTAATTGCTAAACACATGACAAAATTCAAGGATGGTTAATGACCCTGCTTTTGTACTTACTTCCCCCATTGCTTTGCGATTGGTTAACTAGAAGGTTACATGTAGTGCCACTGTCCCTCCATGCCCATATTCATTCCCATCCCACTCATAGGCCCTAGAAGGAGAGAAAACAATCGAAGAAGAAGATGCCGAAAGATGAGAAAATAAACAGACCATGGCTCAGAGACAGGAGTTCAAGAAACAAAAGCACAAATCCCCATTTATTAAAAGAAAGGAGAAGAAACACCATATGGTACAAATAAGACAACATAAGTAAACAAACAAGTAAATAATGCATTCAAAGGCTAAAGGTTGGAAGGAAGCCTGGCTTTGGACAAATCCTGCAGCTTAACTTGTGAGGTAGGAGGGGATGAGTGGTTAGCAACAGTGACCAGTTGCACAGGGTAGAATAGGCTTAGATTCAGAATGCACAGCAAATTCTAGAAAGATGGGTATTTGAAAGCTAAAATAAAAACTGTAAAGGGACAAAAGAGGGGGTAATGTATTGGACCACACCTGTGCTAGCCAAGATTCTCAGTCTAAAATTCAGAAGGATGTAGTTGGGGGGTTGTGGGAAGGTGGGAGATGTCAGAGGAGAAGACACGCCAAGGTCTTACCAGGTGGTCTGATTCCCATGTGCTGCTGGCCGTCCATCACGAAGCCTCCCATGGGTTGACCATCTGGGTTGTAGGGAGCTCCTTGACTTACTGCAGGAAAGCATGGTGAGGGAATGCGGGGGAAATGAAGAGTGGTCAATTAGTGTTTTTAATTAAGTTTCAGTAGCAGGAGAAACATCATCTGTTAACGTACATGCAGACTGGGGCATTTCGCACAGTTTCTTGGGGTTTCGTGAGAGATACAACACTTGACAGAACATGCCCAATGAAGCTTAAGCACTGGGATCAAAGAACTAATCCTGTATCCTATAGGCACGGGAAACATTTTTAGACACTCGGTGAAACTGTATAATATAAATATGTGTTATTTTATTTCCCCATACAAGCTAATTCAGATAGACTTACCGTGTGTTCAAGCTGTTGAATTTGTGCGTGTGTGTGCTGGGGAGGTTATTTGGTCAAAAGCAACAGCTCAAGCCCACTGAATGCTTTTGAACTTTACTGAGTCCCTAATGCAACCCTGCCCCCTGAACCCTATTACAGGTAATAAACTTTACAGCAGTCCACAACAAGCCATGCACCAGGGGCACTGCTCACTAGCTGAAAGAAACTGTGCTGGAAGACAAACATGGCCACAAAAAAGGAGAAAAAAAATAGATTCATATCTTTACTTGATCAAATTGTTCTCCACTATCCGCCTTTGTAGGATAATGAGTTTAAAAAGTAAAAGAATCCAGCTGTAGTTATTGTTTCAATACTACAACCCATCGTATGTTCGCTTGCTTCTCTTCGTCATTGGGTTATGTAGCGCCCAAGTCAGCATGATTAGTGCTTTGGGTTAATTAGATGGATTTTAGTGGTCAATCATTGTTGACATCCAGGCTGGGCTAAGTATTTACCGGCAGGTGGGCCTCCGGGTGCATAGCTTGCAGGGGGCTTTCGCCTGCGGGACTTGAATACAGAAACTATGGGGGACTTGCCTGCTCGGTTGGATTGGTCGATCATGGGCTGCACTATTCTTCTTCTTGCGTTAATGAACCTGTAAAAAAACAAAACAAAAAGATGCAACTTTTGATTTAAAAGTGACTTTTGGTGTTTGTGCTGTGTGTAAATGCAGTCACGTCCAAGCCTGCTGCTGTCCAGATCAGCCCAGATAACTAATCAGATGGGTAATTGGGGGATTTTTTTTGCTCTAATCCTCAAGTGCTCCAGTGGGAGTGTCAGGAGAGTTGTTCCATAACACAGAAATGTTCACAAAGATTATGACTTGTACAAACTTGCGCTGGCTTAATATATATCGCCTGCTAAGCAAAGGGCTCAAAAGCACTTTGAGGAAAGTGGTGTTTTTCTCAGTGCAGTTTAAGAGACTCCTTTTCCTTTTTTTACGAACATTATTTTAAACCACTGAAAGATTCAAATCCTGATGCCAGATGTAACACAGTTGATATGCACCACAGGAATTAATGTGTTTAGGAAATGTTTGCTAACAGAAAAAGTGTTGCATTGTCTGAGAGCACCAATAAAAGTCATGTTTTCTTTTTCCTTGCGTCTCCCTAGAGGGAGAATAATGAAACAGTGACTTAAATGAGGGTTTTTTTTTTTTACCTCGCTGAATAAACAACTGCATACACAGCATATTGTGCATACCATTTTGGATAAAAACATATCTGGCCTCTATAGCTTCTGACCCCGACCTACTTGCACCATACACTGCAATGCTTTGGCCTTATTGTGCCCAAATCCCCTCTAGTGACCCTGTGACCCTGGTCACCTCCAGGAGACTAAGCTCAGAGGTTCCAACTTGATTTATGTCCTCCTGCTGTTACCACAGTTGGACACTTCCATTTCATCCTTTGAGGGGGGAATTAGTAGACTTTTAAGGAAACAATAGCTCTGCTCCTCTTTTCAGGCTGAGAAAAAGTAAGGGAGGTGTGCTTGGGGTGAAGGGAGAGAACAAGAAAAGGGGGAATAAAGAGAGAGCAAAACTTGGAGACGAAAAACGTTCACAGAGGCATCTGCTAAGCTTCATGCTTCTCAGTTTTAAAATGGACAATTCCGATTTTTTTCAATACAATTCTCAATTTGGATTATATCAGCCACACTACAGTTTGTATTGTCAGAACATGATTGTTATTTATTACTACTGATAAATTATTAATATAATTATTTATTTTATTATAAATAATATATTATTATTTTAATAATTATGATTGCTATTAAAAGAAACAAAATAAATATTGAACAGTGTTGTTAAGCCCCTCCAGACAGTTCTTTTTCAATTTACCTTTGCATTAAGGTAACTTTTAGGCATTACCTTTACATCAAGGTAACTTTTAGGCACTCATCATCTTTACCCCATGGTAAAATTACTGTAATGTAAAGGCTTTTGTGGAGTTTTTTTTTTTTTTTTTTTTGCATACATTGCATTTTACCAGAGACCAAAACTTTTCTTTTATATATATGTCACCAATATCACTCAACGACATCACCTTAAAGGCTAAAAAAAAAAAAAAAAAGATTGGGGAGGAATGTACTGACATGGCAGTGCACCATCAAATGAGAGAATGTCTGGAGTTTTATCACCAGCAGTGGGCTGGAGAGCAGGGGGAGTCTTAGACTAGGCATTCCTTTTACTGCCTTCATCTCAGGCTAGGGTCAAAGGGGGGGCACTGTTGTCTATCTGCTGACCTCTGCTGTTTGGATTTTCCTCCCTCGCTCTCTTTCTGCCTTTTTTCTGCTCCCTTTTTTTGTGGAAATGCCCGTTCTTTCTTTTTTAAAGGTATCTTAAGCTTCCTCTCCCGTTCTTCCTTATATCTAAGGCCAGATGCGGCAAAAGCTGGAACAAAGGACAAGTGCTACACAATACCAGGCAGGGGGATGGAGAGGTGGTGGGGTTGAGGAAAGGGGGGGTAGGAGTGTGAGGAAAAAGAGAAAGAATGGTCATGCTCTGTTCTGTGAGGCAGGCGGACGCCCTGGCGCTGACGGTTAAGAAGGCAATCAAAAGGAGCAGAGAGCCATACGGGCCAGGCTAAAGCTGGAGCCTCCATTAGGAGTAAAAGTTCACCTTTGCGCGACCTCTCCTTGCTATAGGACTGCGTTTATGGCCTGTTCGGTTTCTGCTTCCCATAGGCACACAATGAAGCCAACTATTGAGCCCAGCTTGGGACAATGGGGGGTTATTTTAAAGCAAAATGCCACTAGTGGCACCACCAAAGTAGGGTAAAAAAGGAAAGGTTAAAAATACAGAGCCTCACTAAAAGGATGAGGGAAAAAAGATTTAAATGAGAGTGTTTATGAGCTAAAATGGATTTTGATAGACGCTAGGTTCTTCTCATTCTGTTAGTGTTGGTTTCGTAACACATTTGAGCACTATTGCTCATTCCCGATTTCACTGACAGCTGATCTGATCTTTGTCGGGTCTGCCAGAGCCTTCGCTAATATCCCACTCTCATTACAAACGCACAGGTGTAGCACGGACGGCACGTGAAATGGCCAATTAAAAGCAAGAAATTGTCTTTTTCATCAGCTGCCTTTGTTGCGTGACCAATTAGGGAATAATTTAATAAGTGTTGCTGGAAAGATCCGGATTGAAGATACAAAAGGTTATATTTCAGTATGTCTATCTAAATGCATATGAAGTATGCCGTTTTTCTCAGAAATGCCCCTTCGTTCGCTCGTTTCCTTCTCTCTCAGATGTAAACTGTTTGAGGGGGTGCATGCTTGACTACGGAGGACCAAATTCACTCATGAAATCACATTTCAACACACTCAGCTACATTTACATGTATATTAAAAACCCACAAACAGGCATATCAGTAATACCAATGGAATAGAATGATCTGATGATTCAGATCTGCATCTGTGGCTCTACAGGAATCTCCAGCACAAAAAAAATGAAATGCATTAAAAGAAAACATCTAAAAGATGCTATGGGTTCAGCATAATGATCGATTAAAATTAAGTAACGACACCTATATCAGTTTAGTAAGGGGTGACTAAAACTAAAAACTACAGATTAGCTCTGTTGTTTTCAAAACATTGTAGCATTTTCAGTGACAAGGTACTTTATTACAATGCAGTGATATTTTCATTTGTACACTCATTACGAACACGCATCACACAATGTAATATTCCTAAGTGATATTTAATGATTTGATCAAATAAAAAACACTTTTTCCAAAAATACTAAAATTAAAAAGCTAATTATTTCATGAAATGGCTAATATTTTTTACAAAACCAACTTTTTAAGTTGTTTTTAAGTTGGAAACTGCTTAATAGTTAATCAATTTCTGTGATTATGTGTTCATTCATTCAAAAGACCCACCGTTTTGGTGGTAATAGTTTCTAATAATTAATTTAGGTTAAATTAGAATTAAATAATTATTAATCTAATTCAATTAAATTAGAAATAAAATTATAAATTGTTGTGGATGGAAAAGCATCTGCCACATAAAACATATGCCAGGGTAATTCGTAAATCAGAGACTGACAAATAGGTGCACAGTAAATTGATATTGCTTCTATTTAGTGGTTGTAATTTTTAGTGCAATTTAAAAATAATATTAAACTTGTACACTGTCAAATTTCATTTTTAAAGTAGCTGTGCCCACCCTTAGATTGTCACTGCTATAATTCAACTAACTAATTATGCATCAAGACCCTTCTGGTGAAACCAACATTATTATTGGTGTCTGCTCTAGAGATCCATTTACTTAAGCAATTAGTACTTCACAAGTTGGAATGCCTCAAGGTAAATGTCATTAATACGAACATCTCATCTCAACCTAAGTCATAAAAGTCCATCTCGGCTCCTCCTCTCAAAGAGTCAGTCTGGGGTCAGTCGCTATGGCCTGCTTGTGTTTAAATAAACTAGTCCAGCTGTTTGCTGCACAAATTCCATTTACACTCCTGCCCCCATCAACCCACCCGCTCTCGCACACACACATGCATATGCGTACATTTACACACTCCTTTTAATCAGTGCACAGCAACCTAGACCCAGAGTGGTGTTAACATCTTCTGTTGCTAGAGACCGACAAGGGCCAACGGGGTGTAGATACAGAACAAACTTCCAACACCCGTTTGCATCTCTCACCTCAGACAATTCCATTCAGCCGCATCACACCCCTCATCTGTCCCTCGCACTGCATATTCCTGCCTTTCTCACTTTTTTCACATTCTTAATAACACTCCCCCCTCCTAGAACATGGCATGCAATGGTGGAATCCGATAAGAAGCCCCCACTCTGCTAAAACTGAATCAATTCTGATTTATATTTCTGTATCAAGCGCACGTGTACGCTTCGGCGCAGCCTGCGCATAGTCGCATAGCCCTTGCTGTGGCCGTCGCAGACGCGCTTCTCTAAAAAAATAGAACTACACGTGTCAACAATGCATAGTGCAAGCTTTGTGATTGTTCGGCTTGGTAGCGCTAACAAGTGTGGGCCGGACTGAGAGCCACGCGAACCCATTGGAGTGAGTGTTTACAAGTGTCGAGTCCCATGAAGGAGCTCCAGATGGAAAGTTTTGTTTTGTGTTTACCTTATGAATAAAGTGGCACGTCTGCCGGTTCCCACCTCAAAATGAGCGAGTTTGAGCTACTTGTACAATAATGAAGTGTTTAGAAAAAACAAAACACCAGCGAAGAAACTCGACACAGAGGAACATAAAAACCTCACTGCCAGCTAGCATTTCGGATGTGTTATTGCAGAGCAACACAAACAGCATGCAGATGTATAAATGCACGGCAACACACATTGCATGCGCCATGGGTCACGTTGATCACTTAACTCAGAAATATAAACCAGGCTTAAGCATTAGCCATGTACATGCCACAAATAAAGGTAGGGACACCAAGCTGATGCCAAAGATCTAGCGCTGACAAAATCTACATTGCACCAAAAAGTTGGTCATGCACACATCAAACGAACAGCAGCCACAGGTTCTGCACCTGCAGGGGACAGTAGTCTGTTTTCTCATTTCACAAAGAGCAGCCGGAGGTTATGATGTGCACATACAAACCATAAACAAAGCAGCATT